CAAAAAATAAAAAAAATAAATAAAAATTTATAGGATACTTAGTTTCAGCTAAAATTTTAGCTTACTCATCCTAGTCACCGCGTAAAGGTGTATCCTGTGACCAGGTTTATAACAACCCGTAGTTGTATCCTCCATTTCTGTGGGTGAACGTTACCACTAGAGGATGATTACGCGATGGACTACATGAACAACATTGTCCAATAACATGGATAATCGTTCATGGCTCCTACCCGATGTGCCCCGGGTACAGAACACTGAGCAGGTGCCTTCTCGCCCAAAGAAGTCCTCAAAGGCCTAGAGTTTGGCATATTTTATTTTTAAGTAAAAGAGCTAGCATGCAAAGAAGCCGCCATAAACCTCAATAGCGCTCAGCCTTCTTGCCTACCTAAGGAAGGAACCTACCAATACCTTCTCCGGCATTTAAGAGACCTTAGGCAAGGGGTCCAAGAAGACTTTTAAGAAAGTAAAAAAAACATTCTAATTTAAAGAAAAACGAATATATAATATTGTTCCTTAAGCTCTTTTCTAAATAAATTCGAAGAAATTGAATTTTTAAATGAACCCGGGAGACCCATACCCATGGTGGATTCATATTTTAGATAAACAGCACGAAGGAACATGGCGCGTTTGATTTATTTAGGGTGACAAAAGATGGTTTTTAATTGACAGTAATACTTTTTTTAAGCAGTTCTAGGAAGTTTCATAACTAATCCCTCATGCAGGACTAGTAGACCCGAAGCTTGCAGAAAAAAAGTACAATTATATTTAAAATTTGTAAAAAAGGAATAGTTAAGCCCTCGCTTATGATTAAAGTTTGAGATGGAACGAGGAATATTTTTTGCTAGAACTCAAAAGGTTGTTTCATAATACACGTATGCATACACGTAGTGTACAAATAAGATGAAAAACATCAAATAAAAAAAATGAATCTTTATGATAAATCCTTTTTTTCTTGTTTTGATAAATATAACGTGTATTGTTTTAATTAATATAATTGGATGAAGTCACGTAAACACCCTTAAAAAGACCTGCATAATTACGTAATATAATTAACCAATCAAATACAATACTACATATTAGAAAACTTCGTATAAAGAAGCTTACAAACTAATAAATACACGCGAAAGAATTTATTATTAATATGTAGAGAATAGACAGATACGCGTAAAGTGGGTAAATAAAATATTTATTACTAACAGCTAATAAACCCAAATTATTTATTAATTTACGGTTGACAAGCTCAAACATACTACAAGAACCGACCAAATTTAAGCCTGTTAAAGAGCTTGTACCTATTCAAATTAAGCACTTAGAAATAATATTTATTTAAATTTAACGTAATAAAATAGTTTTAGACGAAAACATTTCTGGTTACCTCCATAATTTGATATGGTCCAATAAACGGTAAGCATATTTTGCCTTCAAAGTTCGTGGGGATACTGCGGTGATTTTTTGTTAGTGAAACGTTGTGTTCCCAAAAAGTATAAATAAGTTACCCAAGAAATGTCCGGTGAATACGTTTTTTTTTTTTTTGAGATAAGATTATCTAGAATCTTAATCACATGATAATACCTTTTTATCATCGTTAATGTTACGTACGAAAGCATTCAATTTTTGCCATGACTATTCTGGCTTCTCGTTTACTGTTAAGCCAAACACCATTATTATCTCTTTCAACAAAAAGATATGCTCCGGTATTTTTTTGCTGAGCAAATTTCGACCTGCCCGGATTTTCAGAGCCAAAAATCTTAACTTTTATAAATATTTTCACAGCGAATATCCAATATACTCTACTTGAATCAGAAAGCATATAATTCATATGGAAATGCTGATGAATACGCGTTTCTTGGCCCACCTCCAGAAACTCGAAAAATACCTCGAAATACAGTGAGTATTCTTAATTCAAAAGTGCATTAACTAAGTTAATTATTTATTAATGCCATATTTTTATAGATTATTAATTTCGTTCCACAACAAGAAGCGTGGATTATAGAGCGATTTGGAAAGGTTTTTTTTTTTTTTTTTTTGTAAACGCTATCAATTTTTTTTAAAGAGAATAATATTAATTTTAAATTATTAGTTTGACCGACTTTTACAACCAGGTCTGGCTATTGTGATTCCATTTATCGAACGAATAAAGTACGTTAAGAGTCTTAAAGAAATTTGTTTAAACATTCCAACTCAAAGTGCTATAACGCAAGGTTTGATAATCCATCAATTTATGTAAATTGAGAGAAAATCTCATTTATTCAATCTAATATTTATTTCTTTTTTATCAGACAATGTTACATTAGAACTTGATGGTGTATTATATATAAAAGTCGTTGATCCTTACAAGGTATCAACCTCTTATTCATATATTATCTGAAACTCTTGAAATTTGTCATTCTGTGTCTCTGTTTTCATATAAATTTTATAGGCGTCTTATGGTGTTGAAGACGCCGAGTATGCAATTGCACAATTGGCCCAGACAACAATGCGGGCCGAAATTGGTCAAATGACCTTGGATAGAACATTAGCGGAACGTTCTCATTTGAATGCAAATATAGTTGATGCAATTAATAGTGCTTCAGAAGATTGGGGCGTCAAATGTTTAAGATACGAAATACGTGAGTAAAATTCTCGGGTTATATATATACATACGTATTCTTATTGAGATAATCTAAAAATTTATATTTCTTCTGATAAGGTGACATTAAACCACCCGAAAAGGTTGTGCAGTCTATGCATTCTCAGGTATCTGCTGAGAGGTCAAAAAGGGCTTCCATATTAGAGTCTGAAGGTCCGTCATTACATTTGATCATGACTTTTAAATTTTGTAGAATATGAAACATATTTGAATTTAACTTTAGGTGCGAGGCAAGCTGCTATTAATGTTGCGGAAGGTTCAAAAGAATCTGTGATATTGGCTTCACAGGCTGAAAAAGCTGAACAAATAAACAAAGCGTCCGGTAAATTAATTATTTTAACTAGTGTTTGTTTCATTTAATGTTTAAATAACATCTACTTTTTTTTTATTTTTCTCAGGTGAGGCCGAAGCTATTATTCTTCGTGCTAATGCTACCGCTGAAGGTATTCGGCGAATTGCTTTGGCTATAGAAGAAAAACATGGTCCTGACGCAGTTGCGCTCACCGTGGCCGAGAAATATGTAGAGGCCTTTGGACAACTCGCTAAACAAGGCAATTCTATAATTGTGCCAGCTTCTGTTAGCGATGCTGGATCAATGATTGCTCAGGTATCCATAAGGATGATCTGTTTTTATTGTTTTGGTTGACAAATTGTTTACTCTTTCCTTTTTTTTTTTATATTAGGCTCTGTCTATATATAGTACTGTTTCGAAAAAAGATAAATTAACTCCCTAAAAAAGTGAATAAAAATGTTAAAAAGTTGAAGAATTGAGATCTAAATCGAAGCTTCACAATAAATCTTATATAAAGATTTGTAAATAATCACATGATATTATATTTTTATAATAAAAATATTAAAAACACGGCCGAGTTTTCCCTCGTAGGTTGCATCAATTTAAATATATTTATATAATACTATTAATTGTTTATGTTTATCGGACTGTTTAAACAATGTTAAAATTGTCTTATAAACGCCAAAATTGCTAATACATCTTATAAAAACCAAAATTGCTAATACAACTAATAAAAAGAATCTATTATTCTGGGAAATGTTCGCTCAACCAACGTTCACATTCTAAAGCGGCCATGCACCCGGAACCTGCACTTGTGATCGCCTGCCTGTATTTCTTGTCTTTCACATCACCCGCGGCGAAAACACCTTCTACATTCGTACTAGTACTATCTGGTTTAGTAATAACATAACCGTCTGCATCTAATTCCAATTGTTCTTTAACCAAATTAGTAGCTGGTGCATGACCAATCGCATAGAACATACCATTTACTGGCAACTCTTTTATTTCACCAGTTTTAGTATCCTTCGTAATCACAATATTTAGTACATTTCCATCACCCTTGCATTCAATAGGAATAGTATTCCAAAGCACTGTAATTTTTGGATTCGAGAGCATGCGATTCGCCATCACTTTTGATGCCCGAAGTTGGTCTCGACGGACTAATACATATACACGTGATCCATATTTTGTAAGAAACATAGACTCCTCAGCGGCAGAATCTCCACCACCAATTACTACCAGAGGTTTATTACGGTAAATAGGTAAAGCCCCTTTAAAAATAATATATGTATTAAATACCATGTGATTCAGACAGACAAATTAGACGCTAGTTTAATTACCATCACAAACTGCACATGCTGAGATTCCTTTTTGCCAGTATATCTCTTCCCCAGGAAGATTCAACCTCTTTGCAGCTGCGCCAGTTGCAATAATAAGCGCATCTGCAGTATCTGGTTCTTTATTTTCGAAAGTTTCACGCCAAAATTTAAACGGACGCACCGAAAGATCAACTTTTGATACAGTTTCGGTATAAATTTTTGTGCCAAATCTGATACTTTGTTGGCGAAACTTTTCCATCATTTCTGGTCCCATAATTCCCTCAGGAAAGCCAGGATAATTTTCTACATCGGTAGTCGTAGTAAGCTGTAAGTTACAGAAGCATGTAAACGCGAGATTCCTTAAATATCAACACAATTCAGTTTAATAAGCCAGGGATGATCTGTACTTGACCGCCGGGGGCAAAGCCGTTCGCATTAAATCCTTCAAACATAACCGGTTCAAGAGTTGCTCGGGACAAATAAAGAGCTGCTGTATGTCCCGCTGGACCTGAGCCTATAATTACAACCTTGGAGTGCATGTTTCTTTGGACTGTTAAAAGACGTTTTTTACTTGATCCGACAGCAAACGTAAATCTGGAAAGCAGCGACATTTCGATAAAATTATTTTGGTAAATTTATAAGGAACCTTTTATGGTTGTGTTACCGCAAAATTTATAGATTGATAAAGCTAATTCAGTAATTGGTTATTAAAAATCAGCAATAAGATCGGCTCTACCTTATTAGTTTTTACAAGACAATATTTTTTCGTTATTGATTATGTTGTTGACAATAATTATTCATTACAGTAGAATATTAAGAAATAATAGTAGCTATTGGTATTATTATAATACGTAAAGTATACATTATCTGGTATACAGTAATACTGTAGCATTTATTACGTATTTTTTCGTCTACTATATAGACTAATGTGTTTGCAAATTTTATTTTTTAAAAAAGTAAATATAAGAAAGCTTCTTAAAAAAAATACTTAAAGGGTTATTAAGAAATAATAAATAAAAAAATGACCATATTTCATGATCTACTAGACCGATTTTAATTATTTTACCATTAGAATCATCTTAAGGCCGTACACTCGGTTTTCATGACATGAAATTTTTTAAAAAAAAAAATTAGTATATTTTAATTAATCTTTAATAACAATAAATAATAACTTTGATTTATTTGCTTGGTTAATCTTATCATCAAAATAACCAACTCATTTCAACAAGCCCAAAATTAAAATCTAATTATTTGAAATACAGTAGTACAAAATCTTAATCCTGTCATTGGACTTTAAGCTATTTACTACCGGTATGCTATATACAGTATATATTTACTAAATAGATTCTAATGTTAGTTAGCTTGAGAAGAGTTAGAAAGATAATTTAACAAAAGCCTATACCAAAATTATGAGTAGAATTTTTTTCTTAAAAGCACCAAGGGCAGTTTCATAAGCAAAGTTTTTGACGTAGAAAAAAATTTTTTCTTAGTTTTTTCGATCAACCTGTCTCATATTTCGGACGTGCGATGTAGTTGTGATATAATAGTGTGTATTAGTATTAGATGATAATTAAATATACGTATAAGGCGGGGATCCAAAAAGGATTTGCCTAACACAGGTCAAAATGTTAAATTGTGAATCCAATCCGGTCCGATCCTAGGATCTGCTAGGACGGTCCTGGATCTCAAAGGAAGAAATTCGTCTGATTGGCTAATGCAGATCAATTGCCCGGGTAACTTATTTATACACTTTAAAGTACTT